TGATTAAAAACATGTACACACATCCACACTCATACCGTATGCCCACGAATGCAATGATACCCGTGCATGCAAATGTAATGTACAATTACAATTCATATCATTATGCTCATCATATCATATGTTCATTTTCTACAAACATTCTCAAGCATGTTACACATGATTTCAATTCAAATATCTTACTTGAACCCTAAGCAACAAACACTTGGTGGGCATAAATGAAAATACATAGCAGAACCAAATAAGTCATTCCATCAAACCCAAATATCTTACTACTAGTAGGTCATGCCTCTCCTACCGGTAGATTCACATTTTCAAACTCAAACCAAAATCAAGTAAGAATTATTTGTTTTTACACGTTCTCATACTCATTTTCCATACCCTAGATACACTAGGTGTGAGCTATCACATGAGATTTCATTTTTATAGCCCTACCTATTTCATATCGCAACTCTAGGTTGAAAGTAAATCTAAATAAGCGGGAACCCTACCTCTTATAGCATACACACAGGATAGAAAAATCCTCACGATGCCCAACATGCTTCATTCAATCTTTGAGCCAAAACTCCAAATTTTGCAATATGTCGAAAATGGACTTGGTTGGTGCTAATGCGTAGCCCTCGTCTAGTAAAACAACTTTAACTCTTGGCTTGAAGCAATCCAACAGTTGGAGGAAGTTCTATATTCAAATCTAATCGCTACCCTATTATTAAAAAGATTTTCATGTGGTAGACCAAAAATCTGGTCAACACGTGAAGGGGTGTGTTGAAATATAAATATCTGAGTTACACCCATTCTAATAACTTAAACTTTTGGAGTAGATGGTTATTCAACAAGCTCAAATAGAGGAGATATGAATCTAGGATGAAAAAAGAGGGCAAAGAAATCAGTTTTCAACCATAATGATAGAAAATCAAGAGGAAACTAGGATTTCATACCAAGTCCATATCTTAGACCATTACGAATATTATCGGCCTCCTATTTTGTAGAAAAATTGTCCCAGCTAAATTGTATTCTAACAGCTTCAACAACAACCAAAACCAATATGTAATCGGAGTAAAAAATATACAGAATGCCATTTTCTCAAAACTACTGCTGTAAGTTAAATTGTCATTAGTGGTTCTTAGTGGTGTGTTGTTTGGCTCTCTAGTTTTGTGTACCGAATTAATTTACCACAGTACCTCTAAGACGAGTGACTAATTGTTATTTTCCTGTATTAGTTCTCTTATTTCTTACATTTGTTGCTTGTACAAGTTCCTTGTTTTCCAATATTCGTTTTTCAATTCAATAATTTTATTTTTTTTTTAGAGAAAGCTCTCCTTGTCTTCATAAATTGTAATAAGGCTAAATAAATAGCCATCCCCATATTAAAATAAAGGATGATACCAACTTATAGTTTGTCAGAGCCATGTATACCATCAAATAGATAAAAAAGAACAGATTTTATCAGGAACAAATTGTACCTTATGTAACTTCCATCTGAAGTGTGCTACTTGAGAGGCTTCATACCCTACACAGTAACCCATTTAAGATAATTTTTGTGATGGATATAAAATATTTATATGGAAACATATGATAAGGCTAAACAGGAGGTCTATGGAGTAGGCACGGATGAAGCAAACAAGTTAGCAACTTGAAAGACCACAATAAACATTAAGGAGCACAAGAAGGTAAATATATTTAATATGCTACAAACCATGGTTTTTCAAAGAAGTCACAACATGTGAGAATATTGGATCTAGGCTGATGGGAATATATAAAATTTGGGCCCTCTCCATTTAGGTTTCATAATGCTTGGAAGTTACCTGGTTTCTTTGGTTGGCCTATGTTTATTGTTATTCAAAAACTCAACGTCTTAAGTCACATTTGAAAATTTGGAAAAGTGAGATTTTTGGAGATATTCAAGTTAAAGTTGATTATGCATTCTCTGCGTTGGGAGTTATTCTATCGGAAGATTTATTCCTCAAGGAGAAACAAGCCCAAGTGGAGGTCCACTCGGCTCTTTAGATTCAGGAAGCTTTTTGGTGAGAGAAGTCAATAATTAAATGGCTCCAAGTAGGTGATCATAGCACTTCTTTCTTTCATAATTCTGTTAAAATCCGTGCTACTCGAGTTATCATTCATTTTCTATGGAATGAGGACTTAGTAATTGAGGACCATACACTTATAGAATCACATGTGGTAGATTTTTACAAGTCTATGTATTGCTCGAAAGTTCTGGTTATGGACAATGGATTGGTTGACCATGTCATTCCCAAACTTGTCTCGGATGAAGATGACAATAATCTCACTTTGATTCCCTCAAAATTAGAGGTTCGAGATACAGTTTTTTCTATGGATCCTTCGGGAGCTCTGGGACCGGATGGCTTTGATGGGGTGTTTATCAATCTTGTTGGAATGTTGTGGGTAGTGATTTAACCTTAGTGGTGCAAAGTTTATTGCAACTGGGTTGGATTTATCCAATCATGAATTTTATTTTCCTTACTCTTGTCCCCAAAGGTCCTTATGGAGATTTAGTGGATTAATTTCAGCCAATTTCTCTTGCAAATTTTCTCTTGAACATTATTGCAAAAATATTGGCGGATCGGCTTGCTCTTATTGCTCCTCGTATTATTTCAAAACAACAACGGGCTTTCATTAAAGAGCGAAAATATTCAAATTGCATCTGTTTGGCTTCTGAATGCTTTAACTCTCTAGACATGCGCTCTTATGGAGGTAATATACGAATTAAGATTGATGTGAGAATGGCCTTTGACACCTTAAACTGGACATTCTTGATATGGGTTCTCAAAGCTCTTGGATTCAATGATATTTTCACTTTATGAATTTCAAAAATTTTGAAATCTGCTAAACAGTCAATTTTATTTAACAGGTCTCCAATTGGGTTATTTTCTTGTTCTCAGGGAGTTCGACGAGATGATCCTCTTTCGGCATTACTTTCTGTTTGGCTGAAGAGGTGCTAAGTCGTGGCATTACCCATCTAGTTCAATCTAGTAAATTATAGCCTATTTCATCTCCTAGAGGTTTCTGGGCGCCGTTTCTGGGTGCCGTCACATATTATGTTTGTAGATGACATTATTAGCTTTTACCCTGGAACTCGTTCCTATATCAAAAATTTGCACGCCCTTCTTGATTTCATTAGTGAAGCATCGGGTCAATGTGTTAGCAATTCAAGTATGTGGTTTTTGTGGGGGGCGGGAGCTACCTATTGGAAACGCTCTAATACCTCTTGACTAGGTATGCAAAAGGGTGTCTGGCCTTCTAATTATTTGGGAGTTACAATCTTTAAAGGAAAAGTGAAAAGGTGCTAATGGAAAGAATCAAGGCAAAGCTTCCTTCTTGGAATGGTCGACTTCGATTTTTTTCTCTTTCTCACATTTTCCTTCATTCTCCCACTAACCTAACATAGCTTCAAGGGCCGATAGATTGTCTACCAGTGAATCTGCCCACTGTTGCTGAGGTTGTGCTTAATAGTAGTGTGAGACCCCAAATTTTCTAATAGAAGTATTGAATTTAAGAAGTAGAAACAATGAGTTTTTGTGGATGAAAACATAATTAATATTAAACTTTGTGGCATATTTATAATTAATGAAACTAAAGGGTTGCAAACTATAATTGAAGTTACTCTTTTTGTTGGCTGGCCATCATTAATGTGTATAACCTACATAAAGAAGACAAAAGAAAGAAGATAAATGAAAAAAAATAAATAAGAAGATAAAGATGGTGAGGTGGCAATTATGACTCATGCAATGAAAGTTTGTGTGCTGTCATTTAGAGAGAATATTAGAGCAAATTAATATTCTGTGTGTGCTTTGGAAAGAGCAAGTGGATAGAAACCTAAGGAAAAAGATGGAAGTTTTGAAAACGAGAAGTTCTTGGCCGAAACAAAGAAAAGGAGAAAGAGATTCAAACGGAGAGTTTTAGAAGAGAATTGAATCGAGGTTTTTGATCTGTTCGAATTGAAGTTCAAGTATGATATTCTCGGGTATTACATATTGATTTCTACTAAGAATTGGGTAAGTGGTTTATACATAATATGCATTCTTTTAATCTCTTTGCAAAGTTGATATCGTCCTATTCGTATTCAAATTGTGATATCGTTTGGGTTTGAGTTTCAAAATAATATTTCGTTCAATTGTTGATATTTTGTTTGACTTGTCATCAATTGCTATGATGTTAGCTTTGGTGAAATACTTGAAATTAATTGACTCGTGTGAGGTATACTCGGTGGCATGGTTATGATTATGATTCGTGTTCGTAGCCCTGAGGGGTGAACATGATTAAATTAAAATGCACCGAATGATGCCTAGTTTGTTGTCAGAATTGACTGAGTGTTCAATCATGGTTGATTTGATTGTTCAAGCGTTCGAGTTCATTGACATGTTCAATATATTTGTACTCCGTAAATTATCGTATTAACTCTTGTGTCATCAATTGATTATCGATTGGTTGATAAATTATCATCTCGCCATTTGACTTCGTATATTATATTTTAAATTATTTACTGAGCTTTCCCCAGCTCACCCCCATTTATCCTCTCAGTTGCAGGTTGAATTTGGAGTAAAATTTGGTGGAGAATCAGGTTGATCAATGAATGAAAGATTTTGATTGGTTGTAATTTAAATAGTTATCAAGAGGTTATTTATTCATTTTTGAGGTGTTTAGTGATTCTGATATTTAATGAAGATTCAGTATATTCGTTATTAAGATAATTAGCACTCTGAATATTAGTAAATGGATTGGGGTGTTACAAGTAGCAAGAGACTTCATGGCAACAACCAAAATGAAATATTAAACAAGGAAATGGCATGTTAGTGGGGCTTTAGTGCATAAAATGCCATTCAAAGGAAACACCACACACAACACTAACCATCGTAGTCGCATAAAATGGTTGGACTAATAGCACCACATTCCTTTTGAACCCATCTCATGGCAACCTCCATCCCAACCCTTGGTCGAACCTCATAAAGAGACCTAAGGTGTTTTTCCACTAATTCCATTTCCTAGACTAAATCTAGCATTCCAAAGATACCTTCCCCAAAAACCACCATAGCCAATCTCACATAATCAACAACCAGTGCCTCCCCATCAATAGCTAATCTCAAATATCTGACAAGCTCTTGGTCAATCTTTCCTTCCTATACCAGATATAATAATCAGATTGAATTTCATTCCCCTCTCCCAATACAAAGTCAACATGTGTTGAGAATTCTACCTAGTTGTACAAATGCTCTAATCAATGCAACCTGAAAGCGGGGGAGTGGTCGATTTGATATGTGTGGGGGCTAGGAATATGCAATATGGTCCTCTCGCACCCACTACGTGATGTGATGGAGGTATGCTTAGTTGGTATAATATTTTGGGTCACAGCTCACTTTGGAATCCTTACACAGATCACTTTCACTATCATATGAAATTTTTAGAATCATATATCTATATACATATCATCAATTAATTGTTAATTTTCTACTTGTGAGAGGAATTATATGTTCTAAAGAGAACTATAATCCAACATAACATATGGATTAATGATTGTGAATAAAAAAATTAATGATCACAAATTTGAATCATGAAAGTTTAATATAAAAGTTTAAAAATCACCAAGGTCAAAAATAAAATTAGAATTACAATTGGGGGTTAAGATTGCAATTTTGGTTATCGATATCAAGGTTCAATTTAGAGTTACAGCTATAATTTTGAATCGAGAATTTGGATGATATAGGTCTTAAAACTATCACGTTTGAGGTCGTGCGAACCCAAATATTTGGACGCTTGGGGTACCTACAAACCCGGTATCTTTGCTTCTATATTTCCTTTCCAATCCTCCTCCAATTGCTATCCCTTTTCCATACAAATTTAAACAAACATTTTCATTTAGGAATGATCGAAATCTCTAAAAATTCATACACCCAGCCCCTATCTTTATCATATTACACAATTTCTCCCAAGCCACCAAAGAGTCCACAAACTCCTCTTCCATCTGGCCCCAAACTTCATCTGAAGCTCTTTCAACATTTTCACCACACTTGGGTCTCCAACGACTTTGAAAGGCACATGGGAATCCCTCTTCTCCACCATTGTGCCCGACATACAACTCAATGTCTCCATCACCAAAAAATGAACAACATATGAGATAGAATATTCCCCCAGCCAAAGATCCCTTTTGCTCCTTCCAGAAAGCCATTAGCTAAAATTGAGAATCTCCTACTCCACATGCAAGACAGGATCCACCTTCTCAACTTCGCCAAAACCCAATCTTTGCTGCAAATACAACAAGACACTCCAACTAATATGATCATAAGCTTACTCCTAGCTGGCAAGTCACCCCTAGCTTGCACTTTTTAGTTCATATATTCATTTGCCACCAACGTTGAGCCAATGTTCGCCTTCTATCCACAAAAGGACTAAGTCCTTGACCTCCTCCACCCCACCTTTACTTGGCATCTAAGCAATCTCACCAAACCAAATGTAACTGGGGAGAAACCCACAATCAGGTCATTTGAACACGATGTTTTATCCTCAGTAAAGGACTTAAAGCATCAAATACCTCCTGAGGCTATGGTGATACGGTCTACATCCAAAAGGAAATAATTTTAGGTGTATGCCCCCAACTTCTCAGGATTTATTGACTAAGTTCCATAGAAACCCCAAGGATCAACCAGCTTTCTCAGTATTCTTTGTAGATCTACGCACGTGTTGACCAAAAAAAAATAAATCAAAACAAGGAAACGTCCAACGCATGCACTTCCCTCCTATAATAGATCAACTCAATTCAAGCACACGTCAAAGGTCCCTTTCCAATCCAATTGTTGAATATACCACATGGAAACTTCACATCGCATCCATTTGATCCCTTGACCACTATTTAAAAAGAACTCTTTAAGGAAATTAAGGTGTGCATGACTTGATGCTCCAACGTTAAGTGAAGAAGAAAATATTATGTCAAAGGTTTTAAATTAATGTCTTCCGACACCCAAGTGTACATTGAGGATAAGGAACTACAGAAATCTATGATGCCCCATGCCAATGTAAGGTGGGACACAAATGAATAAATCAAGAGAACATAACCTTTCAGACCAACAGGACAACAGAAGAAGCAGATGGCAACATGTTGACAAACTTCACATTTAAGCACATAGCATGAATTTACACGTCCAAATAAGTACACCAATGTTTCCATAGGAAAAGGGAAGAAACAATAACCACTACAAAACGTAAAGAGGGAATAAATTAGGGCTAAATGTGATTGATACCTTAGATATCCTGAACTCATTGACTCCCATCCGAAGAGAATCATCTGATAGTATCAACCGTGAAAGAGCTCCGGTGCTTAACCTGCAATATCAATTAGATGCTATTAGAAAGTGAAACGCATCAGAGTTGTAAACAATTTGATTAAAAGCTCCGGCGCTAAACACCTGAAAACTTAACTATAGAAGTTCATAAATAGGAATTTTATTTTCTTTTTTCCTTATTTTTTCGGTATTGGGACGGGGTTATGAAGGGGGTCAATAAAGTGAATGATTGCTCATTCATAATTACAAGTAGTTGTTTCTCTTTCATTTATCTGTTATTGCAGCTGCTATAGAAGTTTAGACAATAAATCACGTCTTGTCCACTATCTTGCCTATGGAATTGGAGTCTGTTTGCAGAAAATATATAGCATCCTAGTAACCACATGAAGGAATCAAAATTTGCAGGACATTTGCAAGGGCATAAATAGTTTAACGAGCCAACAGACAGGATAGAATGTAAAATTGATTAAAATTATAACTGTACCCCAACTTCTTTGCTGCATCAGATACAGAACCCTCAACTGCAAAGATTAGGTCTAGCAAAGCTTGCATTCCCTATGGATAAAGAAGGGGTAAATCTAGATTTCAATGTATATTCAGATCTTTGAAACTTACGAAAACTAAAAAATTGCAGATTTTTCAGAAAAATAGAATCACTATGATATGCACACCAAAACGAATTTCAGGTTGTTTGGCCCTATCTGCGGCCCACAATGAGATCCTCTGATGGTTGACTTTGTAGGAAGAATTTGAAGGAGCTCTTGAGGAGGTGAATACATGTCAAGATCTACTGTGTTCCTGACTGGCTCATAAGAATAATACAGCAGCCATCAGTAAAGACATTTAACAACCCATAGATGTGATAAAACATAAAGAGAAAGAGTTACACCACATGCTACAGAAATTTTAGCTTGATGGTTAAACGCTCTGTCTGTTTGTGTGTGTGTGTTTTACAAAAAAGAACGACCTGTGCAACTGTGATCACAGAAGAAATAAAGCTTCCAATGTGTTAAGGTGACAGAACGCATACCTTTAAGTGCTAATAAAGCACGCAAGCGAGCTAGCGCTGATGCGCGATTCTTGTGCTGTGACCTATCTTCCACAGCCTCCAAAAAAACAAATGCATAACGGGTGAGTGGACAAACTACAAAGGAAAACACTTTCAGCTAGTTCCGCGTACAAAGGGCAATCAATTAACGAATCCGCAAACTAATTCACCAAAATAATACCCACCTGAGCAATAATGCCAGTAGGAAGGTGCTTGAGACGGACGGCGGACTCTCGCTTGTTGCGGTGCTGACCACCAGGACCCGACGCCTTGAAAGTAGACATCTCGCACTGGCTCATCAGCTGCAGGTCCGACATTACCAGGAAGTCCACGCCACTCTTATTATCACTCGTACTATTAATAGTAGGAGTGGTACAAAAATTTTGCTTGGCGTAGAATCCCGTTGCCCTGATTCCTATAAGGTTTATCCGGATAGATTGTGATTGTGATTGTGGCGACCCCGTTCTTGTTGTTATTGTCGTTATCGCTGCCGTCGGCTTTGGGCAGAAAACAAAGCCGTTTGAATAAGTCCTCCGATGAAAATACGAACAAGAAAGAGACGAAACAACACCAACACCTCTGGGGAGTTTGGGAAATGATTTGCAAAAGGACTGAGCCATGTGGAATGAGCGGTGGTACATCAACTGAGAATAAGTTCGAAAAGGAGCGGCGAAGCAGAAAAACCTTTGGTATGCTCCTCTGTTACTGGCAGAATTTCAAAAAATGGTGTGGATTTCGGAAGAGGCGATCAACTAGGATTCGTGTTCCGAATCCGAATTAAGAGCTTAGCTAGCGACTTCTCGGATCACGAATTGGAATTCCAGTGAAACGCCGGACGGATTTCGGAACAAATGTCAGAGTCCGCCTAGTTCAATCGTTAACTGTTATGTTGATTGAATGCTACGGCGAGGGTGGGGCGGTCATCCTTAGACGGGTCGGATTTCCCGATGCTCCGCTGGAAAACTGGCCCGTCTGAACAAATCTCATTTTCTCAGTTCTGGCCCTCGATCACTGGCCAGTCTGACACAATTGATCCAACCACAACACAACACTGCTTTTTGCCCGTGGGTTGACCTGAAATCCGACCCTCTAAACCCGTTATCAACTACCCAAATTTTTAACGAAAAAATGATTTCCAAGATAGTATTAAGGTTGTTCAAAAGAAATATTAAGTTATATATGTAATAAGTTGCATTGAGTTCTAAATTATCTATATCTATATCTATATACTACTTATAAATGTCAGCATGTGCGAAAAATTTTTGATTTCCTATTTCACCCCTGATTATTACACTAAAGACAATTATACTCACAAAATATTAGTTAGATAAACTTTATCAATATGACTTCCAAATTTTTTATTGGATAAATTTTATCACTAATATTCCAATTTTTTTTCTAGATAAAATTTATTTTTATGACTTTCAAAATTTTTACTAGATAAACTTTATTACTATGAATTGCCAGTACATTCTTCTTTTCCATTCAATTTGACAAATTCAACTAGAATTTTAATATGATGTGAACAAAAATTGCTATTTTTTAGGTGATAGTCACATAAACTTTTGTTTGACTATTTTATCCTTTATTATTGATATAAAGTCAATTATATCTTCTTATTTCTTTTTATTTTTTTAATTAATTACATAATTTTTTCTTTCATCTTCTTAAATTAATTATGTATATAAATTTAACACTTAATTATATTCATTTTAACCTTTAATTTCTATTTTTCTTGACCAATCTTATCTTATCTATGCTACTAATGTATTCCATAGTATCCTTCAGTCTAGGTAATAAAAATTCAGTAAATTTATTACTTCTTTGACCTTTTATAATGCCAGTATCAGTTACTATAGGAACTTGTATCATTTTATTTAAAGTGGAAGCAAGAGAATGCTTCTGGGTATACTCCATCACCTTTCAACTTTGGTTTTGGTGATTGGTGATTGGTGATTGGTGATTGTTCTGAATTATACATGTGATTCTCTTAAGGCTTTGGGATTTCTTGTACTGAACAATCATTAAACAGTTGAGAAATATAGTTGATTTTTATGGGATTTATTGAAGTTCAGTGTTTTTTCTATCTGATATTTGTTTCAGCTATAATTCCTAATTGGTTTGCTTCATTTTTCTTTTTACTTTCGAAGCTACTAAGCTATCAATTTTTAATTGGTATTATTTATGTGATTTGCAACTTCACTCTTGGTTTTGACTACTACGAATGTTGAGAAGAAAAAAGAAAGCTCAAGGGATTGTTTGGGTTTGTCTGTAAGAAAGGCTTTCTTATTTTATAGAACAAAGAAACTTGTTTGATGAACTGTTTTGGTGCTTAGTTTTCGCAAGGCAAGAACTTCAATAGGGATGTTTCAGTTAACATCTAAACGACATTTTTTGCACTTTCTCAGTGAATTGCCAAAGTTTTGTAAACATTTCATCACGGCTACCGCACAGTTAAACGTGTTTCTCACTCTTCACCCAAGCGCAATGCTGCCATAGGTGACAAGTGTTCTTCAATGGATTACGAGTTTACGACCTTGAGAGAAAAGTTAAGTAGACTATAAATCTACACATTTTAATGATTTTTTGCCCATTTTTATGCATGTTTAATATGAGTTTGCTCCCTGTATTTATAATACCTAATGAACTCATGAAAGTGTGAGTGAATGTGGTTTATCTTTTGTGAGTTATGTGGTAGAATGTACTTGAAGTTGGTACATGCTGATTTGAAAACTGTAAATGGAGTTGTTACTTCCTTATTCGAACATGTAATAATTAAATGGCACCCATTCATAATCAAAAATAAGAAAAATGTAATGAATATAAGGAGCTAATATGAACCAATTTGATTGTTGTTTTTCCTATACCATTTGCCAAAAAAAATGTCTCATTTGACATTACTAGATTTTTTTTTTTTGGCTTCAAAAATAAAGAAAATTGAACAATGTTCTTCATTACACCCGTAGACTATTGAAAATCATTTTGTTTTTCGTATTAATGCCAACAAAACCATAACAAAGAATGGAAAAAAAAAACTAATAGAAACTACCGATAGGTAGTAATATTTCTAAAATTTTATTGGTGAAATAATTTTTTATTTTAAAAGGAATCTGCTTGATAATCATCAAAGAATGTCTTTACGAATTAAGAGTCCTTCGATTCTAAGAAGTCACAAATACTCAAAGTTTGATCCATTTCCTTTAGAATTACTTGCTCCATCTGCATCAAAAATATTTGAGTTTGCTCTACGAGAATCCATATATTCTAATTAGATTTCTCATACAAGAAACTATACTAAATAAATGGAAGGTCATGTTATTCCATTGTCTCACATGTTAAAAGCCAACGTTGGTTTTTAGCACATATATAAAGGTAGCATTGCACTTCATTTACACCATATTTTTTAACTGAATTCCTACTATTTTGAGTTGATACTATCCATCTGTTGATTTGAGAAAATATTCAGTATTTTTTATAGAGGCACCAAGTGACATTATTATGTGGTGCATACACCTTATAAAAAATTGTCACAATACTTATTTGTTAGACCTAAAAGTTGGTTTTTTTTTTAAAAAAAAAATTCTAATAACTTTACAAGTGACAATAATCGATTGAGAATATATAATATTTTATTGGCGATATACACCACATTGTTGGTGAGCATAAAGTCCACGTCATCTTAGGTCATCTACATTCAAATTTTTTATCGTTGCCATTGTATGAGGTTTTTCAGGAACACCATAACTACAAAGATTAGGGCTCAATAAAGTCAAATTAACTATAGACTAAGTTCAATTCTGTTCTTCATACCTAACGGAATATATATCTTAAGTTTCGATCAACTGATTAAAGACGGGTTCTTGTTAAAAGGCTAGCTATGCACAGATAAAGGTTCCCAAAGTTGCAATTAAGCCACAATGCACCATTGTATGTACCCAACTTTTGCATAATTTCTTCCTTAATTTGTAATAATCTTTACTCGTGCGTTTTTCAAGGCTCATAGATGAACCACCCTTTCCATCACACTTAGTTGTTCCCATAAGTTGTCTATCAGGAGCTCAATTCTTTTCACCCTCCCTAGGTAAAGCATCTATAGCTCCACGTATATAATCAAGTGGAAATATTCTACACGTGAAGCGTTGTATTTTTCTTTACAACTGGTATTACAGCAAGGTTTTCCTTGAATTGCACTTAATGTAGCCATTCATTGCATATTTGTCTAATGGATCTAGTTTTAGTGCTTTGAGATTCATTATAACTATTGGTTGGTTATTAATGGAGTCTCTAAAAGAAGGAGGTTCAATAGCACGACCGCCATTCTTTGATGGTACAAACTATACATATTGGAAAGCTCGAATGAGGGCATGGGCGTTTCTAAAATTGATGGATGAGCGAGAGTGGTTGTATGTGCCAGAGAGTTGGAGCCCTCTAATGGCCATCACACTGGTTTAAGGTGATGAAGTTGTCGTTGAACCAAAATCCCTTAAGATGGTTTAAAACCAAGTATGAGTCTGTAGGGTGGAACTCGAAAGGCTTGAATACGATATTCAATGCCGTGACATCTAACGAGTTCTAGAGGATCTCCAATTGGGAGAATTCCAAAGAGGCATGATGAAGTTAGTGAAGATGTCTCGTCTCCAAAGGTACACCTCTCAGTTCAAGAATTTAAGAGTACATGATGATGAAGAATTTAGTAATTTCTATGCTAAATTATGTTATATTGTAAATTTATTTTTTGCATTGGGTACCAAGTATGATGACTCCGCAATTAAATAAAAAATCTTGAGATCATTACTAGAGAGGTCTAATGCTAAGATGATGGCCTTGGAAACTAGAATCAATTTAGAGACTGCTGATAAAAGATCTAGTTGGGTCTATTTTGACTTTCAAAATGATTCTCCAACTGCCCAAGAAGTTTAAGGCATGACTTGATGCTCTATTAAAGAAGAGGGAGATGAATAGAAATCACCCAGTTTAAGAGAAGAGGATATAGCCTATCTTGTACAAAAGTTCAACAAATGTGTTAAGGTTAGTGGTGTCCTCAAGGTCGAAAGGAAATCCAAGTAGACCTAAGTCTCCTAGAAGGGGAGGAGAAAATAAAGGGAAAAGGAAAGAGACACAAGGAGCTCAATGCTACAAGTGCCAAGGATTTGAACACATGGCTTGGGAATGTCCTAATTGAAAGAACAAAGATTTGCCCATAGAGAAGAGAGAAAGTGAGTCCGAGTCGACAACAAGTGAAGATACTTCCTCTTAAGAAGATGAGGAAGAGTTCAAGACTTTAATAGACTCACACTCTTCTCCCCCAAGAAAAACTTCAAGACTTAAAGTTAAGAGAAAGTCTTCCACCCATTACTCGAGCTAACCCAAGAGACTTTAAGGGAAAACGAGTGTGGATGAGATGTAACAACTTTGAGAGGCTCACCGTCTCTACTAAGTTGGATGCTCCAAGTGCTTCCAACAAGGTCATGGCACCTAAGAGGTAGGTAAAGTGAGAAAGTATAGACCTAAGTGATCTATCATGCATTTTATCGAACACTTTAGGGTCATACATTGTATATACATGTATATTTTTCCTTTTTTTATTTTGATTTATTTTTCTTTGAGAAAAACTCAAAAACAGTATAAGAATGAAAATCCCAAAAATAAAATAAATTGAAAAATCCAAAAATAGTTTTGATGTCACGTTTGACATTCATTTTTAGGACTAATGATAATTGTTTTATTTGTTCTTTTCTTTGTTTATTGCATGTTTATGCATATTTTTTGTTGTAATTGTTTATTTGAAAAATTCAAAAAAATTAGAAAAGAAAAAGCAAAAAGATTTTCTTTTGTTTATTTT